AACATTTTAAGATAAGGTTGAATATTAGCGTCCGTACTAAATTCAAATAACATTTGTATGACAGATGCAATGTCTTCATTCGGATTTAATTTACAAATATTATAATGCCAAACATGCATGATAAAAGAATACAAGCAAAATATGACAGAGAAGTATACGCTGCCTTAATAAAATTCTGAATAGCTATTTTATTATGTACTGTGATTGGATTAAAGAAGTGATACATTGTATAGCGGACCATTCTCTTAAAAATTCTGAGATTGAATTTTAGGATTTGAATTTTAAATCGAGAACGTAGTTGGAAGTATATTTTATTAGAGGATAAATTGGTTATTTCTGAAACGTTCTCAAACATTTTTGTTACAGAATACGTCGTAATTTACATTGAAAATGTTATGTAAAAAGTGCATGTTTCAAATTTTTTTGTAATCATTTGTAAGGGCGCCTTCAAATTAGATGCTTATCGAAGCTTTGTAGCGCAACTGTCGCGCCGCAGTCCCTCGTTAAGTCTTTTTTTACGGACGACGACGACGAACAAGTCGTGGGTCTGGTGGTAAGTGACACGCTTATTCATAACAGTTGCAGTGCCACTCAGAGCTTTAAACCACTGCACTCCACGGCACTGCCACTGCGCCCGTCACTCTGAGACATACGTTGACAAGTCCCATATGCCTGTAATTTCATCCACAGACGAACTCTTACTTCACTAATTGTTACTGCAAATGAGGCGCGCGCGTGTCACGTCAGTGAAGCTGGGCTGCGCTTCGAAATAAATAAATAAATATTAGATAACATCACATACGTAGATTTGATCCCAAAGTAAGTAGCTAAAGCACTTGTGTTATGGAAATCGGAAACGGTACCACAAACACCCAGATCCGAGACAATATAGAAAAGTTAGTTTCTACGCAGACCCAGCCGGGGACCGAACCCGGGATCAGAGATGGCGACACCGTAAAAACCGGTATGCAAGCCACTCAACCACGAGGCCGAGATGTTGCATAAAAATCTATACTCGTCAACAATCAATACTGCAGCGCTTCTATAAGCATCTAATTTGAAGGCGCCTAAGAGTTTATTGCAGTGGACTTAGGCAGCAAATGACTCCCTATAAACTAGATTAAACTATAACGGTTCCTTGTTTAACTACGGAATCTGAAAGCAATAAGTTTATTGTTCATTCAGATTATCTCATCAAAAGTGAGCCCAACATTGCACGTGCTAGCTTTCGAGAGTAGTAACGTTTATCAAAGCAAAAATACCTTTAATAACTAAACTACGGCACGGATGAAGTAAGCCTGCGGTTCAAAGGACGATTATCATGGTTCAGAGACTCTTTTAACTTCACCGTCGTCAGTTTTCTTTATGTCAAACGCACATAGCGTAAAGAATGGGTTCCATTTTACGTACCTACATTAAATACAAACTTGAGTCGTTAAAAAACACATTTTATTACGGTTCACGATTAATTGGTATTTTTCTTACCAATTTCCGTGAGACGAAATTCAAATTAGCTTATTAAATCTGATGTAGATTGTTAGAATTTAAGTTTGAGGAAGTCGTCTTTCTTGTACGTGATGCGACTTTCGTCGGTAAGCCATTTTATATAAATAAACTGTTTGACTTTATACCTACTTCGGGATGTTTTCTTTTTTTATAATACCAACTGTCGTGGCAAGTAACACGCCTGGTCATAGCAGTTGCACTACAGCTCAGAACTTTAAATCGCAAAGATCTGAGAGGTACTGCCACTGTGCCCGTTACCCTGCCACCACAACCACGACATCTTTAACTTTGGTCCTATTTCAGATCCAAGTGTTACTTTTTCAGTCTCGCAGGGTGACTCCGGCATTACTCTCTCCATGCCTCTTTATTCATATTCGGAGTTTTAAATCGCAAAGATCTCACTGCGCACTGCGCCTGTTACCCTGAGACATAAGTTGAGAAGTCCCATGTGCCTGTAATTTCACTAACACCCTTACCCTTCTAAACCGGAACGTAGTAATGCTCACATTATTGCTTGGCGGCAGAAATAGTTAAGGTAGCATTATTTCCTGGGACGAACTCTGTCACAAGAAGCTCTACTGCTGCTAAACTTTTGCCATCGAAGATGACATAAACAATTTTTGTCTTTTCTTTTTGTATTGACGTTTCTGTTTCATCGTTTATTTGATTTATTTGGAGATATTAAGCAGCAACTTTAGAAAGTCCACTATACTTCTCTAATAAAATAACAACATAATATTTAATTTATCTATGTTAATAGTTTATTACGTGGAACAACAATGAAATTTGACGGAACACTTTGCTTTTATGTAAGGGTCTAGTAAAAATTACACGAGCAAGTCATGCCCTGCAATTTCCTCTCAGAAGATGAAATCTGGCGATTTTTAATTTAATTCAGACGACTTCTCATAACATTTAAATATATAGACTAAATTAATGTTCTCAGATACGTTAGATAGCTATCAAATTTATACTGCTTATTCTGTGTACAAGTTATATTGTCAAAGCGTGGGTCTAATTTTTATTTTAAAAAATCCTAACAATAAATGGTAATGCGGAAGGCGGACATTAACGTGGCGTAAAATTAGTACACGACAACTGGTAATTGCATTTTACCCTGTTTTGCCTGTTTTGCATTGTTATTATTAGAATATCAATTATGCTTCAGATAGTTCCAGTTTCAGCATTAAATAACGGTGCAAAAAGATTACCTCATGACGTGATCCTCGGATTCTTTGTATAAACAAAACTTTCTAATGAAGCGCTAAAAAACCATACAATGAAGTTGTCATTATGAAACTAACATGTTTACGAAATTCTTCATATCATTGTCTCGACCTTTAACAGACGTTGAGAAAATTTTGTAGGCCGAATCGTACTAAAAGTCGGCTTAATTTGAGGCTACTATAATAATTTCGCTTGGAATGGACATGGATAAAATGACTGAGAGAATCGGATGGATTAAAATTAAATTTATACGGATGATTTTGGGATTTGGGATGCGTGAAATTTAAGTTAAATATTGATAGACTTTATTAATTTTTGTAAAATGTGGTTTCCTGAATGTTTCAAATTGAATAAAAATATGAACCCGTGGTAGCCTGGGCGCATTTATTCGACACGAATTTCATCGGCTTTATACAGATTCGCCGCGGGCACGTGTGGACCTTACACAGTGCTTGGTCTAGAGTCCAGCGTCTGTTTGCGATTTCGACGTCTGGATCTACCCGCTCGTATCCGCTTCGGCACTGTGAAAGGGAAGTACGCGTTTTCGACTTGTCTAAACACGATCTCGTATGACATTTTTTCAAGTTCATACGATTATCGTACAAATTGGTTCGAACCGTTTTGAGTGCGAGAATTGCCATTCGAGTTCAGTGATTACTGCGGTATTGACAATGGATATATCAAAATGACGCAAAAATCATTCAAATGTGAAACTGCTGATAATATTAAGTTCATTGCACTGTATAGAAATATATTTTGTATTATAATTTGTTTATAATTTTTTTTTTTAATTTTATAACTACTGACACAAACAAAAACTGACAATTATGATAAATTTATAGGGCGAGTGAGTGCGTGAGTGAGTGAGTGAATGAGTGAATGAGTGAGTGAGTGAGTGGGTGAGTGAGTGAGTGAGACACGAACTCCCCACTAACTCCTCACTCACTCCCCACTCACTCCCCACTAACTCCCCACTCACTCCCCACTCACTCACTCAATCACTCACTCACTCATTCACTCCGCACTCACTCCCCATTATTTGAAAAATTTTTTTTCGCTCTCGTTCCATTAATTATTGTCTTAGCAGCAGTGATAATCAAAACACCCTCGCGCACTGCACGCATGGTAGAAACGGCTGGCACAAAAACTCGAAATACGATTTTTGCTTTCAAGTTCTGTTTACACGGAGACGTTCAACACGCAAAGGCGAGGCGATTATCGCTCACGTGGAAGGGCGATAATCGCGAATGTTTAGACGAGGAAAGTTTTTTTATATTCTTTCGATAATCGCATCTTCAAGACGAGAAACTCTCTCCATCTAAATGGGCCTTTAGTCATGACTTACATTTTTGTTTGTGAAAATCAAAACTTTCTGTGAACCTTTGTTACTGCCGTTGTGACTATAAGATATATTATTTACATCTTAACGTTCTACGGAATATGTATAATAAAATGGTTCACCGTTTCATACCTACGTGAATAAAAAAGAATGTAAAAAATTGGTGGTTTCCAGGTCAAAGAGCGGAGCCTTTGTTATATATATAAATTATCATAAAACTATTGGTGTTGCTTTGAGTTACTGCGAGAAAAGGGTATACGTGCGTGTTTGCGTGTGCTTGTTTGTATGGTTATGTAAGATCTGCGGAACTTCTCACGAAGTACGTCAAATCACGTTGTCGCATATTCTTTGTTCTAGCTCCTCCCTGGTCTCTGCCCACCCTGGTAAGAGGCAGGCGTGATGATATGTACTTATATATGTACCATAAACAATTTTGATGCTAAAAAACCTGCGGAACTTGTAACAAACCGCGATTTATAGACCTTTAATCGAAAAATACGTGAAAATTAAAGGTACGCAATTATAATTGAATAACACTAATGAATATTTGTTTCAGCATGGAATCCCTTACGTGAAATTTGGAGTAGCAAGTGCGACGTTTTCTTTTTTAGTGAGCTATTGTTTTTGGTCACTTTTGTTGAGGTCGCAAAGCGTAATGATAATGTTAAATTCAACATTTTAATAATAATATTTATTTGTTTCTCCCACAATATTTTTTTTTAAAGTAAGGGAACAAAGCGTAAACATTGTAAAAGACAGGAGCCTAAACTGGGAAGGTCCTGTATCTTAGTACTCGTAGTCTCCACATCTTGGTTGAACTAATTTTGTACCTAGGTTATATTATTTACAAATATGGGAAGGTATTTTTGGATGTCGTGAATCCTGTGATAGTCTAATAAAGGCTTAAACATCATAGTGCAAAAATTACCTGAGTAGATAGTAGAATTGCTCTGGAGTAATCAAAAGCTTGAGCGAACCAGGAGTCTCCGCTTGGTCCACATAGCACCAGCAAGTTCGTGATGCCCAATAGTGGTATGAGAACTAATAATGCCTTCGTCGCTTTCCTGTACTGTTCTGTCTCGAGGGTGTTGGCTGATCTAAGTTTTGTTATTAGAACCTGTGGAAGTAAATAATTAATGTAAGCAACTTCGGAACTATGTTTATGTGTTCACATAATCTTGTTACTATAGTATATTTGTTATTTTCAGGTGTACTATAAGAGTGGTTACACACGGCCACCTTTAGCAGCGATGCAAATGCGCGATTACATCGCTACACTTGCGATTGATAGGCGATTGCATCGATACAAACGCGTGATTGCATCGATGCAATATTACAAACAAGCGATGCAATCGCTTAATCGCTGCTAAAAGTCGCCTTGTGTAACCGCTCTTATAGGTAGTGTAAAATTTAATTTATTAGAAAAAAATGGCAAGTAAAGTTGAATGATAGTTATTAGCAGATACTGATTATGTGTCAAACAACCTCAATTTTGTCTGGTTTCAAACTAGGGTACTATGGGGACCAGAACAACGGAATTCGCTATGTGACACTACCCGCAATACTTCGACTACAAACTGGGTGACAGGCGGTGCGGTGGCAACAGCGATGCAGGTGGAGGCTTTCAGGACTTGATATAAATGCCTAAGTTTGCCATGTGCTGTTCTCGAAAGCAGCGACGCGGATGGCGGTGAATGCGCGTTCGAATAGTCATAGTGTCTTGTTGCTTACCCACACCATTTTTCGATCAATAAAATTTAGATATGTGGTCGGAGGAAATAATTTAAGCGGTTTTAGAAATACCACCAATATGGAACAGCAAACATATCGACCATAAAAATAGAAGGATTTTATTAATCACCATAAAAAGAAAAATGGCGATACTATTTGTCCACGGTCATTTTAGCGTTATCATAGAACTTATCCGGGTTTTCTGTTTGGTCTTTGTAATTTCGGTGAAACTAGCCTTTTTGCTTTTCTGTTTGTAGTACGGGTTAAGATAAAATAAATTTACTTCAATAGAACTTAATCTAATAAATTAATTTACTTCAATATAACTAAATCTCAATACAATACAAGTAAAACAAATGTAAATAAAGCTATTATAGTATTCAAATAAGAATTAACAAGGGAATCTAGATTAAACATTCTTCATAGTAAAGCTATTATACATTTTAATATTAGCATCTAATGTGTATATGCGATGCCTAAACTAAATAAATGTATACCTGCATTTTAGGCATCTTTTTGTGCAAATTTCTTTATATTACAGCTTAAAAATAGATTTTCTATATTTAACAATGACATAATTAGTAGTTATAAATTAATGGTTACCTATAAAAAACAACAAACTGTAATTATGAAACAACTTCCAACAAGTCCTTTGTTTCATTTTAAGTTTTATTCTTATGCCACAATTTGACGGTCCTTTTACATTCTATTTTATTCATGGCGTAATAATGCAAATTAGAATTTAATTTAAAGTAAAGGAATGTACCAAGGAAGCAAAAGAATCTATGCGAGTGTGCTGTGCGGAGTTGTGCACGAGATGAAAAGGTATCGAGTCGTCTGTGGTTGGTTGAAGTAACGGAATCAAAAGGAGTAATTGAGTGCTTTTTCAAAATTATTTGTTGGATGAACAGTTGCCGAACCGAGAAGATATCGCACTGGCTTAGGAGTTTGCGGGTTGGATAATCGAAAGGACGGAAGTTGATGACTTTAAGAGCAGTTCTCTGCGCTCTTTCCAGGTTTATCAAGGTGGTCTTATGTGCAGTAAAGTAGCACTGATTGACAGAGGGCTAAATACACTAATTTGAGAAAGGCGCTGCTAGCTGCATATCTTAAATTTTAAAAAACATGTATCAATTTTCGGACTATTATTATAACTCGTACAGTAAAAAAGTCACGTTACAGTATCGTCGTCGACGTCACCACGAATTATCTCTAAACATCTATACAGGTGCGAGCATAAGCGCTATGAGGTTTAAGTTGCCGCGCATACAAATGTCAAACGAAGAGAATTTCTCTCTAACCCTTTATTTTTTTCCATCCTCTAAGCTCTAACCATAACACGACATCCAAATTTTGTATACTTTTAACAGATCGCCCTAGCGAAATATCTTTACCACCCTTGGGGCAGAAGACTAGTGATGCTTGTAATTTAAATACTACATCTAATTCGTGATTTATAATATTTCACCTTATTTTTATTAATTAAATCGTACTTATTTATTAAATTTTAACAGAGGAAAAACTGGCACGAATGAAACCTACGGCGACGGTACGTGATTTGGAGAACCGTTTCATCTCCCTAAGGTTGAGTTCCTCAGTAATTTCAGGGTTAATAGATTATTTGTGCCAGGAACTTGATATCGTCTACAGGTATATCTGTAAAGTTCAAAGTAGGTAAAGGAAAGGAAGACGACACGTTTATTACCCAGAATTTGATCCGTAAATTTCGATGATAAACTTCGTGAACATTTGAAAGAACAACAGACAAACAGTAAACACAAGATGGTTGGTTTTTTTGTTATTTCCTTTTTCCCCTAAATGCGCTTTCCACTCAACAAAAATATCAATATGATTTGTGTAATAAAGGTGGCTATACACCAAAATTAGTGTAACACTTTTGTTTTCATTGATTTAATGCACGCCATAAACCGTAAAAAAGTCACGACGGAAATGAATGAAGGAAGTTAGAGTTGTGCCTTTAAAACCTATTACCGGTTTAGGGTGACCGCTATGAAAATGAAAGGTAATTTTAGTTGCGGCTACTCATTTATCGCTACGCAGAGAAAACTGTATCTACGGTAGAGAGTTTCTCTTCCTGTTACGTCGTGCTCGGAGTAGAGACATAATCGCTACAGAAAGATAGATATCTTCTCTACACGCTTAAGTTTTGTATATTTCCCCTCATGCTTAGCCTGCTGGTCATTTTTATCGAGCCGCCGCACGCATCGCTGTCGTCCAGTTTGTGGCCTAAGACCAAAATCATTTTGCAAAAAGTTATCCCAAATTGGATATACCGTCAATCGAATTCGGGACAAGAGTCCAGCGCCCACGTTGCAATCCGTAGAGTAAAACATACTATGTGCTTTAGTGATAAAAATATTCAAAATATCTTCTTAATAGGAAATGAAACTATTTTTCCGGATTTAAATCGTGTATATTTTTATCGCGTACGGACCCTTTACAGGTCCCATGGTCAACCGTGACCATGGGACCTGTAAAGGGCCCGAATATACGCGATTTAAATCCGGAAAAATAGTTTCATTTCCTATGTGTAACAATCGCGAAAACCTAAGAACTCGATATATGTTTTTAATGTTAGAAGATTATTAATGTGCGATATAAATTTGCAAATTGACACTTTCCAGGAGAGAGGTTTTGGAAAGATTCTACAAACGAATTTATTCGATAACTTTTTAAAACTTAAATAGGAGAGTTATAAAATTTATACATAATTAGTTGACTTTCTAGTGATAAAAAAATATCACATGTGGCTTTATTATACCAAAAGGGTACGTGATTTTTAACTTATCTATTGTTATTAGGCATTATTTAGGTATTACATAGCTGTGCATGCTCCACTGCCGGCTTCATCATCACTTTCCATTAGGTGAGATGGAGGTCAAATGCGCACTTATTTTTTAATAAAAATGCCTGGTAATATTTATTTACTCAAAGTGATATAATAATAATATCTATCTACCTATAGACATACATCAAAAGTGTCTAGGGATCAAGGCATTTTTAAAAATATTTGATTCCTCTATTAAAATTAAATACTTTTTTTAATGTATATAATATCAAGTGATGGGACGAACAATTCGTGCGCCTGATGGTAAGCTACTCCCCTGTCCATAACAGTTACAGTGCCACTCAGAGCTTTAAATCGCAAAGATCTGAGGCGCACTGCCACTGTGGCCTTCACCTTGAGACAAATTGACAAACCCCATGTGCCTGTAATTTCACCAGCAGCCTTATAACCTTCAAATTGGAACACAGTAATGCTGACATTACTGCTTGGCGGCAAAAATAGGTAAGGTGGCAGTTGTTACTTTCCTGTACGAGCTCTTTCACAAGGAGCTCTACTGCTACTATCCCTGGATGAACTCTTAATATATCTCTATATAAATTTATTAGGTACATTCAATTATGAAATTGACCAAAGAAAACCATTGGTGTTAAGAAAATAATATCAGATTTTCAGTAATTGGCAAGTGCTTGATCCCTAGACATTTTTGAAGTGTGCATTTTCAGAATAATTTCTTCATTTTTCCTGCTCTGTACCTACTACAGTATACATCGAATTATTTGCATGTATATTAAATTTATGCAGGCAACGCAATGTTAGGAAATTGAATTAGATACTCCGTGTTGATTTTACAGTACAAAGAAAGTCAAAATATAATAGAAATGAAAATGCGGAATGTTTTTGTCTTTTCAACTGCCTCGCTGACGAAATTCTTATATCCAGTTTAAATATGATTTAAACTGACACAATAAACATTTGTATGTTATATATACAATTTAAGGAATTTCCACGCAAAGTTTTCGGCTTATCTATACTCGTTGTATGGTCTCATATTGTTCTGCGGTATGACTGCGCACGCGGTGAGCTATATGGCCACGTGCTGCACTTTAGTTTGAACACTTAATCAATACTGTATTTCACTTAGTACGTTGCCAACTGTCCACCTGTTACACTATATTATGGAAACATTTGCCACCATAACATTTGTAATTTATACCAATTTACAACATTTTAACATTTTCTTTGGAAGTCTTTCTCTGTGTTAGTAGTACAATACACATACGAATCAAGATGGCCTATATATTCACTCTGATTGTTTATCTACTATTTTCTACTTTTTATGTTAGCTTTATAATTAAACGAAGCTTCTCATCATTGGTTTACGATTGCTGAAGTTCTACAATGACTTATTGATGCCTTACTTTTTCAAACTCGTATCTCATAAAGAGTGATTATTGAGGAGATGGCAAAATTTTCTATTTATTTTAAATTTCTTATCAAGGGTGCTCATTTGAATGCATTACTTTAAGAATAGGTAAAAGTCAGTGTGTACATACGAAGGAAATGTGACGTGCCATTTTTAATATGTGTTACCTACCGGTGTGAAATCACTACAGATAATAAACAACTTATAATATTTTTGTCTATCATGTAATTCAATTACTTACCCACATAATCCTTATTAGAAAGAAGAGGTTGAGTGCAAGTCCGACCATCGCTGGCGCTTTGTGGATCCAGTCTACGGAGTGCTCGTGGATCCATTGGCACATCTTGCTCTCCCCCGCGATCGTCTGGTTAAATAGAATGCATTGTAAATGTTATAGAGGGTAAATGAACCCAAAAACCGATTTGGACCTAGCATTTTTCGGATTAAAATAAACTATTTCATTTTTTCTACGATGTTCGAACATTCGAACATGTAAATGAAATAAAAAATACTATTATATAAATTTTCATGTGTTGTAGAATAAAACATGTTATACACACTTATAAAACCCTGAATGAGACTAATGGAATGCAATGGTAGATTATATATGGTCAAATTATAATGCTATCCTGCTGATGTACAACCTTTCGTTACTTAGAAGACGGCGAATTAAATATATCAGAACTGGAAAGGTAAAAAAGATTGACAAGGCGGCCGAACCCACTTAGGAAGAGATACGGTCGCTTAAGAAAATTCAATGCTAGGGTTACTGTAAAGTTTTTCTCTCAGTTGAATAAATATATACTTAATAACGTGTCAGATAATTACAATATTTACTATAACTATTAGTACAGGTACAACGAGTACCAAATAAATCCAGACACTCCCGGACACTCCCAGAATACCCAAATCAAAAGCAATTAAGATAAGTTAGCTGACCGCTATAACTTGGGCCTTTTCAAGGCGAAAGTTATTAGGCATTATTTAGGTGTGTATGCTCCAAAGTCGACCTCAGTCCGAGTGAGTTGGTCCCATGCGCACTATTTGAAAAATAAAAATAAAGTACGGTAGGTTGCCAAAGGTGAAGTCTTTCCCGCCTCAAAACAGTTGTTACAAAGATTGTAGCTAGCCCCGTTCCTTAATCGGAAGAAAACCTCTTGTTTATAACAAGAATATGATCTAGCCCTTGAACGTCACCGGTCGACAAGAACGAGCAAGCTGTGGATGGCCCCTGCAGAGCGCCGTTGTCCACACGCAAAAATAATCCTTAAGAGTCTACATTACATCACATGGCTTTGATTGATTCCGCATAACAGCGAAAAATCATGTTGAATCACTTTGGAAAAAATATATAGTTAAATTGAGTATATACACGGACTACTATACGGTGTGAAAACACAAACAAAAAAATTAAAAAAAAAAAACACTAAAAATTTTCATGATAAAACAACACAAACTTACCTCGAAATTTTACGAGAATACCGTTATAAGCACTTTACACATAAGAAATGATTCTTTTTTATGTGAACTGAATTAAATAGAACACGTATATTACACGATTTAATTTTTCGAATGGCTTTAAATTCCTTTGTAAAAAAAAACCAGTGTTCCTGCCGTTCGACCCAAGCAAAATGAACCGTGCTAGTGCGAGAAAAATTTGAATTTCAGCTGAGGTAGTATAGACTCTTAAGGTGGCAACGTGTCGAATCCGCTGATAGATTCACTGGGCTTTCACTGCTCTTTATTTGTATGTACAAACTATATATAGTTAGTTTTATATGGCTTGATAATAATATACTGGAAGCCGCTTACCCCTTCCACTTCTGAAGGGACGAAACATCTGCATATCACCCATATCGTGATAAAGATGCCTGGTGCTCCTGAAATTTGATTAACGTAATTATCTGCTCTCTAAATCTAAAAATAAGCTACTCGGATAAGATACATTACAGGTCCATATCTTTTGTCTAAGTTTTGATTATAGTGCCCCTCCCTACGTTTACGGGAAGAAGGGTACTATAATCGGTACAAGCAAGTTACAGGACAAGATAAATGGATAATTTTTAGGTTTGAAGGGACCAGTCCGGTTGCCATGTTGAAAAATGTAGACTGGTGGTCATATTTCCTGCGGTCGGCAACGCCTACGCGATATTAAGGTTATTCTTTAGTATTTTAAATGTATGTAGGCAGCAGTTACCATATTCCTTCCATGTGGACCGTCTAACTGATTTTCTGTTTGAGTACAAAAAACATACATCAAGCTACACATTGACGGATCTTGTTCTTGCACTGGAGGCGATATTCGAACGCTGTTGATTACTTTTCGTTAGGCGCTGTCTCTTTTAACGCATTTTAATTAAATTTATAGCTGTTCGTTTGTTTTGTTCCTATTGCTAATCTTTATTTCTGTGTGTTTGTATTCCATTTTTTGTATTATATTTTGCGTTCGTGCTAATGTATGTGTATGTGGAACAAGACAATAAACATACTATGTATTTAAACTACTGACTTTGTATTTTTTATGAGTCTGTATTATTATAAGAATATACTCGGTCCTAGATTTTGTGAAAAAGGTCTTACATTAAAAGTGGATAAGCGATATAATACAGCAGGTAAAGAGGCTAATATAGTATTCATAAAATCCTAATAAAATGTTTACGAGGCACAGTTACTAAGTACAGATTAAAGTAAAGATGGGAAAAAGTATTGGGTATTAGGAAAATACCTACTGCAAAATACTGGTGTTATTTAATACCGCAAACAGAACGTAAAGTTAAATTAAGATGTCAGAAAGTAAAGTGATTTTAATTTTACAAGTTTTTACTTTTTTCTTATTAACTATTTAGCCGGCTAACTAAACTAAAAATATGGTCATTTGAACTTCCAGATGTGTTAAATAGGGTACCAAAGGGGTTAGTACAAAGATTAGAACCAACAAATAAAAGAATCTGTACCAGATTGATTACACGACACTTGGCTAGTGAGTAATATTATATAAGAGTTGTATAAATAAATTTTGACAAAATTTTGGAGTAAGTAATAATGTTAAGGTGTTGCTGTGTTTGGGATTTACTAAGGTACATACTTTGAATATAAAAATTTTAACTTTACTAATGTGAAATAACTTGTGTAATCTTTCGAAATAAACAGTTTAAAATTTAAATTTAATTAATTGCGTAGGAGGTGTGTCCTACGCAGTTAATTAATTTTCAATTTTAAAAGTTTGATAGACAATTCTGGGAAATGAAACTTAGTGGTTTAAATGGAAGCACGATCACAAATTTTATAAAAATTAGTTTAAAAAGCTACAATGGCATCAGGACGACTTTCGCCTTACGCGATGAGCAGGCTGTTTGCCATTCCCTAAATGTTTGTAGTATTTTGCCTAACAGCCTGTATCGTTGTAACCCATTTCATTACGTCTCCGGACTTAAGCTCAACCAAAATGGAATTGGAAGTAGTAAACCGAAACTGAATGAAACAAATTGCGAGGGAAAGAGTTTCAGTGAAATTATAGAATGTACGTTTATTTCATCATTTTTACATTGCGTACGGTGCTCAAAAGTAAGTTAAAGCAAAAGAGGGTATGTTTCATAATCATCGTTAATCCATTTGTGCATCCCACTGCTGGGCACGGGTCTTCTCTTAGGCGAGAGTTTAAGCCATAATTCTCTCAAAGCGGGTTGGGGACGTCACACGTTTTCAGAGCGTTGTGAACCTTCTTCGACGTGCAAGTTTCATCACGATGTTTTCCTCACCGAAAAGCTCATGGTAAATATCAAATTAAATGTCGCTTTTAAAATGCGGTCCTTCTCATGCGTTCCTCATACACATTGACGTTATAAAATATAACCTAAAATAATTTACAAACATAATACATAATGCATAACTCATTGATAGTTAAAAATAATACATAAATATAGGAAATACTAAAAATATTAATTACCTAAAACTGTGACACCTATACCCGCGTCGGTCTTAGGGATCGAGCGGTATCCTGTATAGGTACACGTGTTGTATGCACAAATATTCCTGTTACGCTGACATGAAGTTAGCCACGAATCATGCAGCTAGCAGTGAGCCCAAAGCTCTAACGTTTTCCATTTCAAAAAAAAAACACGGCAAACGACAATCATCGGTCTGAGAGACCAATGCGCGGGTATACGAAGGTTAATAAGAAAATTATTCTATACCCACACATTAGCGTAGAAAATGACAAAGCATCCTTGCTAAAGACAATAAAATTAAGGTACCCTTTTGACAAGATAGATATTTTCAGCAAGCGGAAACATAAATGCGTAAACGGTAGCGTTATATAAACAGCCAGACCGGGCCAAGTTTAGAACAACGAGTAACTGCTTATTACTTAACTATACTGCCTTTTGTTTCGTCAGTGAATAAATTGAAATCAAAGTGATAGTCAATTTCAATTAATATGGCTGTCATTACCACAAAGTACGAGTCCCGGATACCCTGTTGTTAAGCTACCTTATTTTGGGTAATCAAAGAAATGAGCTGTGCCCATAGTTGGCAAATACAGGATGTCTCTGCAATGGCAACGATATTCGTTTTACGATTCCTTACATTTACGACTTCCGCAAAGCATCTACATAAAATCCGAACAGCGATAAAAAATATGTAACCCGTGAAATGTAAACAAGAACCAGTTTATAAACCGAATGTTAAATATCCGAAGTAAATTTTTACTATAGCCTTGTATGTAACCAAACCAAATGTTTGAGCTCGGTGCTCTGGTGACTCTAGTTTATGTAGATAAAAAGAAATGGAATATTAAATGCTGATGTCTCGTCGAATCCAGGGTCTGCCTATTGACATAATAAGTCTAAGACGCTTGTTATCTCAAACGTAAAATAATGTTTTGAAAAAACAGTGTTGCGAAGCTCCTCAGCGTTATCCATGAAGGACGCCTTCAAATTAGAAGCTTGTAGAAGCGTTGTAGTGACCCGACAGTCGCTCGTCTGTAGTGTTTCAATAAGTTTCAGTTCACTAATTGTGACTGCAAAAGTGGCGTGTGCGTTTCTCAACACTGGAGCAGCTGCAACTGCGTTAGAAGCGCATGTTGTATGAAAATTAGTAGTGGCGTGGCTGCAGCGCCACAGTGGTGTCAATGTAGCGCTTCTATAAGCGTCTATTTGAAGGCGCCCTAAGTGTAGCGCCCTGTACAATATACTCATAACAAGAAAGGTTAATCGTATTCGCATGATATCACCGTTGCATGTAAATCGTCGCCATACTCGATCTTTAATAAAGTCACAACGGTAATAAAATCCTGAGCAACATTGTGCACTTTCAACATTGAGTGTGACTTTATAAGGGACCAAATAAATAGCGTGGAGATCAAGTAATTTTTTTGCGCCACGCTTAACTTGGGAAAACCCATCGGTGCGAAATCTCGTATTCATAAATCACATCGTCCCAACAATGCCTTACATTCTTTGTTAGAGTTGTGGATCATGTACAAGCGGAGTCCTTTAATGAAAGCGCATAGTTCTCTAGATTTCATAGTCGATAACACTGACTTACAACGAGTTAAGTGAATATATTCACTATTTCGACCTGGTTATTGAATATCCTAAATATATCATGATTAATTGGTTTTTTGTGAAATCACTCCACTAGTTTGTAATAAATATTATTATAAAGGTCGAAAACAACGAATAATTCCTTCGATATGACAAGACTCGAACCTATGTACTTGGTACTTGGTACTTGGTGCAACGGGCTGGTTTCCGCAACTCGACGACAAAGCGCCTATTTTGCGTGTCTCGAACCTATGTCTGTACGCCAGTCTAAGGCCACTCCACATTGGCAAAGTGACACTAGTTTAAGTTGTCCACCTACTTGTATACAGGTTTGACTCCTGTCAGATCAAAGGAATTTTTCTGTGTGAGCTTTGTATTAATTTTAAATTCAAAATTCAGATTATTTACAGATTATTTATTTCAAATACCCATCAAGAGTCTGAAAAAGCCAAACGGATTACTTCCATGGATTTATGTTATCCAAGTAAGCAGACGTTGCGTAATAACCTTGTGTATAAAGGTGTTTTTACATTATACTTTTAAACCTCGTACTTAAACGGCAAAACTTTGTTATAGAAGCTTAAGCATAGTCCCTTAATTGAATTTGTGACTTTGTGAAGACAACTGCAAAGAATTGATAATTCAGTAACAGTACTTATGTCTTACATAAGCATTTGTATAATAAGAGCAAGTAGGGGTACTCCCGCCCGTTCGGAGCGTAGGGGTTATAAAAATAATTTGAAAAAATTAAGGTCGTCATCACAGTATTCTTCTTCTATGTTAAATTTACTTTTGTTAAATGCGTAATATTTACGTATTGATATTTTAATACCAGCATCGCGGATTGGTATTTTGATTATGGATTATGAATGCACTCTTGTTTAAACAACCAAAAACACTAGCAATAAACACGTAACTGTTTTTAATGTCATTTTTTAAACACGGAGCAATCGCTTTAGTTCTATAATTGTTATGCAACGCAAGTGAGCAGTGAGATTATGCGAATGTGTGCGTCCGTACACGGCGCGGGTTACGTGCACACATACAAGACGCGCTGCTACATTTGTATGGAGTTATCATTCTTGCCCTATTATACTATGATAATAGTCTATTTATTTTCCATAAAAAATATTATTCTGCTTTCTAAACTGCCCAACAACGTGCTTTTATGGGATAAAGGAATCGACACAATTTCGATGCCACAACCACAAAGCAAAACGTCGTTTTCCATGAGACTGTGAAAATAGTTCATCATCATCATTATTTCAGCCAAAAGACGTCCACTGCTGAATATAGGCTTATAGGCCCCAAATTTGCATTGGTGCAGGTACATGGCACTTGTCAACTTATGTCTCAGAGTGACAGTGCAGCTCTGATCTTTGCACTTTAAACCTTTGACTGGCATTGCAGACCGGCATGTAGTTTACCACTAGGCGCACGACTTGTTCGTTCCGTCACTTTATACCGTAAAAAAAGACAGACTTATACTTCAATTTATAACTTTTCTCTTTTAGCTTCGGGGGTTAAAAATAAACCAATGTAAAGGTTTGTACTTAATTTATTAAGTGCATACATTCCAGAGCTGAGTCGTTTCGAAAACTTGACTTTAAATGTCAAATCAAATGGACTTGTAGAGCGGTTACATATGGCTACTTTTAGCAGCCATGCCAACGCGATGCTGTAGCGGTGTAGTCGTTAATCGCCTACCTTTACACACACGCGCGGTTTTATAGCTTGAACAGCCGCGAATGACTTTCACGATTTGACCTCTAAGCAGTAGTAACAATTTCATACGCCATCTATCGACCGCTCGCTTGTACTTACACAAAGTCAAATAAAGATAAGTTGTAAATTAGAATACAGAAGAGTCATACGTGTTTTTTTTTTGCAATCTATACCTACGTTGTTGTTCCCTCAGAGACATTCGAGAATAAAAAATCGTAAAAATAAACATTACATAATATTTTAGGGTCAAAACCGTAATAGCGTAAATAGTGAAAGTATTAGGTAAATCTTGCAATGATTCGATCGTTACATCCTATCAACCAACAACTATAAAGGAGAAGTAGAAAAGAGTAGTAAAATTAAAACAAATACTTTTATTAGCTATATTTTAAATGCATTTAACAAATGTCGAAATTTACTAATTAATTATGCGTCATTGAAAGTATAACTTTTATGTATTATTTATTCAATAAAATAAAAGTGATTACGACCAATACGACTAATTTCTTTTTAACTGATGGAAATATTTGCGATATTTTCTGGATCAGTGGTGGTTTTATTTTCTTTGTTTTCTATTTTCTTTAAAACAAAACTGCAGCAAGCGGCGGTGGGCGGAAAATGCAATGCAGTATAGTTTCATTTCTAGTAAATAAAGTGGGTATGTCTTTGTGTGCCGCGGTGCAGCGCGGCGCAGTTTGACGTTACCAGCTTGTGCCACCACAGGCACTACAAAATGTGACTAGGCTTCTCAACAATAAGGTATATTTCTTTAAAAGGTAAACATTGGTTGATCGACATTGGACTACTTAGGGTAAACTTGCAGATACAATATAGAAATTCATGTGTGCTAAATAAAGTTAATATTTCTTCTCACGGGAATCTGCTTTACGAATGGGTGTTCGTGTTATATACAAATAATATATAAGTACATATAAAGTCCAAATAAGACGCTCTTGGTGGTCCAACAGAAATGAACCCGGGACCAAGAGCTACGGAATACACTCCGCGGTATTACCCAGAACACTTAGTAGGCCAAAACCATTTTAGGAAAATTTCATTTCTGATACTGGTTCTACCGGGAATTGATCGAGGGGGCCAAGATGTACGGAATTGAATCCGCGGCGCTACTAGCACCAAGGCCAAAACCATTTTAGAAAAGTTCATTTCCCAAATTGGTTTATCGGGAATCAAACCCGGGACCAAGAGTTACGAAAATCACTCCGCGACACTATCCAGAACACTAGGCTAATAAAACCATTTTAGAAAAGTTCATTTCCTTACTTGGTTCTGCCGGCAATCGAACCTGGATCCTTCTCATGCCGTGCCATATTATTTGCATGCATAATGTACAAATTCTGCGCTTTACCTTAGATTTATTTTTATATCGGTATATCTATATTGTCTAGTCTTAGACAGTGATTAAAAAAGATTCAATGTAAATATAACGAAATAACTAATTTATAAAATATTAAATATAAAAACAAAGTCAAATGTATATATACAAACTAAATTTAAAACAAATAAAAGTGAAATTAATTAAAAACACAATTTTTTGTGGCATAAACCCGCTCAAAAATAGACACGTAGTCTACCCGTCGCAAAGCCTGAAAGGCGACTGAGCGTAGTACTGCGCAGAGCTCGCGGGTGGAAAGGAATTATTTTTTTCAAATAACACTTAACTTCTGAACTATATAATTTAAAATAAGTAAACAATACATTCTATCCGAAATTAAATTGTCTATTTTTTCGTGTAAAATTTATAAACAACGCATGTTTACATGTAAAGAGAATTGGTTTTTATTCAATTTGAAGGCTTTTATTTCGTAGAAATGTGCATAATAAACTATAATTTTGCTCAATGCAATCAATTATATAAGGACTACTAGCAATCACATATTTTTTGTGATTATTGGACCATTAATGTTATCAGGCATTTAATAAAAAACAGCCTAATTCATCAATTTGGCACCTCTTCCAGCCTTGCAAACGCGATGCAAGCGCGCGACTGCATCGATGCAAACGCGCGATTGCTTCGCTACACTTGGGATTTAAAGGCGATTGCATCGATGCAATCGTGTGTTTATATCGATGCAATCGTGCGTTTGTATCGATACAATCGTGCGTTTGTATCGATGCAATCGCAAGCGTAGCGATGCAATCGCGCGTTTCACGAATGCGCGTTTCCATCGCTGCTAAATGTCACCGTGTGTAAGCACTCTTAAACATACCAGGTTTAAAAAATGCGTTACTAATTATGGAGTGTCTGTCTGACATTAGACAATTTTACACAATTGTTTTCTCATAGATAAAGTCTTATATTTTGCTGTAATTGTACTTCTACCGCTTTATCTATAATTTTAATTTTTATAACTTTGTTAATGTTCTCCTTGGCTAAAATTTAACACTTATCAAATGATGTCTCCTAAAAAAAGTTTATCATTGATTTTTTTTAAGTATTGACATAATTAATTTAGGAGAAAATGAAACGTTCGTTAACTTTTAACGTTGTAACTTGAAATAAGGATAATCAAGAAACACATTTTTCTTGGAAGGCGTTTTAACGAACTATGGATGGTTGAACCAGAGATTTACTGTAAAGTAAGTAATGTTATTAATCGAAAAGTGGAATCATAAGAAAAAGAAAACAAACTTTGTTTCAAAGAACTAGGGTCAGTTTTTGTGTCAGTGGAACCATAAGAAAAAGAAAACAAACTTTGTTTCAAAGAACTAGGGTCAGTTTTTTCAAAGCAGTTCAACTGCTTTGTAAAAACTGGCAAAAATTATTCGAGTCCAGTTAGAACGAAGGAATTTGTCTTTGTGTTCGTTCTTTGTGTCAGTAACACTTGGCTGTAGTCAGTAATAATAACAAAGTAGTGGAGTATTTTCACAAAAATAATATATAATAGTAAAACGTTATAATATTCAATAAATTAATCATAATATTATAGATTACAATTTCATTGCTATCATCATATTATATATTGTACCTCTATGAACGAGTCTATAATAATAATTTATTGACAGGTAGATACCCATATCAAATTACAAACTACAAGCCTGTCACTTCTTATTCCCATAACGATGTACGATAATCTAGTATTTAGAAAAGGTATTGTTCTAGTGCTCTGAGAGGCGTATTCTAGAACTCTACTCAATGCTCAAGTCAGGATTTGAGTATGGTTTAAAGCACTCTACTCAAGTCCCTGCTATTAGGGTCGTATTTCCGGTGCTTGTGTTTCCAGTGCAATCCTGACTTGAGCATTGAGTAGAGTTCTAGAATACGACTCTGAGAGTGTACGGAGAATCTCGTTGTCTGATTATTATTGCGCAAAAATCAGGAACTCCGGCTTCGGCGAATATGTTCGATGCGCTGCAGTATCTTGGCTGATCCATTAGAATGCGGTATACATCATTATACTACACTCTAAGGCCGCCTTTAAATTGGACGCTTATAGAAGCGTTGTTGTGGCGCAGCAGCCGCGCGGCTACTAGTTTTCATACAATATTTAGAAGTGCAGCTGCAGCTCCAGAATGCTCCAGAATTAACATTTGTATAGAAACATAAACAATATGCCCTAAACAACGTCACCCTGACATCGCCACTACACCCCGAGGATCTGCACGCAAGCATGTTGTACTGTACAGCTAGAGTCTTACATTAGCGTTCTATGTTATCAAATAGAACCTCCTTTACCTGCCCTCCTGAAGCTGTTTTAGCCATAGTATTACTATGACTATAATAAGTACTACAATATTTTGTAAATTATTACATAATAGAAGCGAATTAGTGGCAAACAACACGAGTAAAAGGCGCAAGAAATAATTTGTGTTCAATTTGCTTACCCCAACCGATTGTGATGTACACTTTGAGCTTGATGTTTTCGGCTGTGAATGTTTCCACAACCAGCATATATAAATAAAGGCCTGAAAAGGAACAATCGAAATTGTAGATTTAACTCCCTGCATTAAGTGTGAAATTGGCAAGGAACCTACTATGCAGCACCTTAGTAATAAAGCGAATTCTTCGAAATCTAAATGCAAAAGAATCATTGTTGGGAAATTGACAAAATAAATTTTAAATAATCTCAGTACAGAGTACTAAAAAAACCGACCTCAAAAGTACGTGGAATTATATATAATTACCAAGTTTTATTGAAATCGGTTACCGGAAAGTGAACAAACCCGGATTCATCCCCTAGTTCGTCACTATACGGGACTTGACACAGGAGATAATAAAAATCGGTTCTCACTACTCAAAGTATATTGAGAGAGAAAAACGCCCTGAATTGCTATTCTCCATAGCAAAATCAACCATTAAAATAATTGCTCCTTATAATAAAATTTAGGCGCTATTTATAAAAATGAATCTTCATGCATGAACGAACAGCCACCCTTAGAGGTAGATGATTTTCTTCAAAATTAAATGGTACCACTATGGAGGTATCCTTTTTCCAACAAAATAATAATCACGAAAATCAGTTCACAAATACCGGAGTTATCGCGTAACATACATACAAATGATCAGTACAGAGTACTAAAAAAACTGACTTCAAAAGTACGTGGAATTACGTCTATTTGCTAAGTTTTATTGAAATATCCCCTAGTTCGCCACTACACAGAACTTGACACTGGAGATAATAAAAATCGGTTCTTACTACTCAAAGTATATTGAGAGAAAAACGCCTTGAATTGGAGAACTAGCAAAATCAACCATTAAAGTAATTGCACCTAAATTAAAGTTAGGCGCTATTTATAAATAAATAAAAATAAAAAAATAAATAAAAATTTTAGTAGCAGTAGAGCTCCTTGTGAAAAGGTTCGTCCAGGGAAGTACTGCCACCTTACCTATTTCTACCGCCAAGCAGTAATGGTCACATTACTGTGTTCCGGTTGTGAAGGGTAAGGGTGCTGGTGAAATTACAGGCACATGGGACTTGTCAACTTATGTCTCAGGGTGACGGGCGCAGAGGCAGTGCCCCCAAGATCTTTGTAATTTAAAGCTCTTGGTGGCACTGCAACTGTTATGGGCATGCGTGTAGCTTACCACCAGGCTCACGACTTGTTCGTCCCGTCACTTGGTATTATAAAAAAAAAAAAAAAAAAAAAAATGAATCTTCATGCGTGAACAGCCACCCTTCGAGGTGGATGATTTTCTTCTAAATGAAATGGGACCACTATGGAAGTACCCCCTTTCCAATAAAAAAAGAATCATGAAAATCGGTTCACAAATAACGGAGTTATCGCGTAACATACATACAAAAAAAAAAACATACAGACGAATTGAGAACCTCTTCCTTTTTTGAAGTCGGTTAAAAAAAACATACAGTCGAATTGAGAACCTCCTCCTTTTTTTGAAGTGGGTTAAAAAAGAACGTACAAAATAAAACTAGTATACTGTTTTCATACCAAGTATAATATAGTAATATTTGGCACCAGCCAATGATCTTACACGCAATATATTATATGTATAGCGTTCATAGTAATCGACGTTTGAAATCTGTCGCGCAACCCATAGAAACTGCACATGTTTACAAAATACGTTGATGTATTACAAAAAGATAAGAGAAGAGAGAAAAGAATCTAAGTTTTTTTTATAATATCAAGTGACGAGACGAACAAGTCGTTATGGTAAGTTATTAAATATTTTTGTACAAGATATAGCCTTCTTTTAAAGATTGTGCGTCAAGTGCATTGCCCCCCGGCAATATATAGATTATGACTTTATGGAACAGAAGGAACATTTCGAAAAGGAAAGTATGTAATACGTTTTTTTTTCAAACAACCACACCAATGATCCTATTAAAAGTAGAGAATCCCCTGCACTATGAGTACTAGAGTAACGAAATTCACTAAGGGGTACTGCCCGTAACATACAGACAAGAAACAATTTAGAGAAGTTCATTTCCCAAATTGGACCTACCGGGAAACGAACCCGGGACCTCCTCATCGAGTGTCTACAGTAAAAACCGTTGGTCCATCAAGGTCGTCACACACTCGCTGAAGAAATTTGACTATACCTATTTTTTTTTCATATTTTTATTAAAAGAATGACGACCTCCATCTCAACCGATGGAAAGTCACAATGAGATCGACGATGTAACATACATAGCTAAATAATGTCTATGCAGTCTGGCCTTGAAAGAGCCCAACTTATAGCGTTCAGGGAATCTTCAATTAGCGACCAACATTTACAAGAATAAACACAAAAATAATTGAAATATATTTAATATTTTTCTAGCTTACGTGTGGTGTGTGATTGCTTGAGTTTTATTTACTTTAACATCGTAATTACACATTTTCCAAACACACACGACAGCATCTTTCTCGAAATTGTAATAAAATGATGCACTTTCACAATTTTCACGTTCGTCATTTTGCTCGATGCAGACTGATGGCAAGAAGATTCAATTAGACATTTTCAAATCTTTACGACGCCAGTAGTATAATTATCTACTTTTTAAGTATAATACATTGTCATGGCATGTGCGCTTTTTAAAAAGCTATTTTGTCAATTTTCCTTTTCCATCTTACTTTATGAATTTCGTCACTATTACAATAGGGAAATATTATAATAGCGCAATTTTGCGTAATTTGAATACGAAAAGTGCAAAATAAAGACCTTTTTCTTTTCAACCATATATCATTTGTTTTGTTGAAGATATATTAATGTATCACTATCATCGTTTTGAAAAAGTAGAAAAAAAAGTAGATTTTCAGTTTACTACTTTTATTTCCTTTTTCCTGAACCACTGGTCACAATTAACCAAAACGTGTTTTGATTTTGTCGTAACTAAAAAGTGATGGACTTGAGAAAACACGTTTTGAAAGTTCGAAAAAAAATACTGAAAATATACAATAAATTTTCGTCTATAAGTATATAAATAATTCTTACGTGTAATTAAAAATAATCTCATTATTTGCAACAAGATGAATTTAGAATTTGTTTTGAATTTACAAATTGGATTTTCCCAATTCTATCGCTTTTGAGTTACGTTGGTTCATATTATTATGAACATTATAATAATATGAACATAATTCAATCTACTTTGACTTTCATCTAAATATTTCCATGAGTGTTCTATTCGAGCTAGTATGTATCTGTAGCTAAAACGTAAATTTTTTCATGCCCGAACGTCAATTACATTGATATCCTGTTCCTCTATCATGAGATTACAGTGACAATTCTCGCTAGCGACCGCGTAAATTATTTGTGTACAAAATGTTGTTTCTTTTTGTGACCGCTAGGGACGCTGTTTAATTAGCCATACAAAATTGTGAAATAATTTACGCGGGCGTTAGCGGCAACTGTCACAGTTTGCTCCTGGTCGAAGCGCTGATCGCAAACTGAATAATTTCCCTATGTTATGTGTACGAAAGCGTCAAATATTCTGGGGATGCTATTTATTATGTCATCATTAACCCTTTACGTCCCACTGATAGGTACGGGTATCATGTAAGATCAGAATGTTTAGGTCATCATAGCTCGCCACACTGGCTCAATGTGTTTTTCTTCATTGTTAGGAACAGATATTGCTACAAAATATTTAACAAAATGTACGTATTTTGGAAATTAAATTAAAAGGTTTCGATTACATCATGAAACAAATTTTCAGACAGGTTCTGTTTCTGGTTTGACAATATTGGTTTCTGTTTAATTAATTAACTGCCTCCGTGGCCGAACGGTTACCATGTCGCCGAACGGTTACATTCGGACTTCCACGCAGAGGTTCCAGGTTCGATTCCCAGACTGGGAGAATTATTTATAAGGCCTACACTTATTTCTCTCGTGAGTTTGGGTGTAATTTGTGGTTGTCTATGTGTGTGTATGTCCATGGCACCCGCGATAAAGGGGGGCTTCTTTCGATCTCCGTCCGACATCCGTCCGAAACAATTACTGTCAAATAAGTAATATTCGACAAAATTAAAAGACAAGTATCGAGTACGAAGCTTCATTCGCATCACGCGTCTTTTCATTTAGTCAAGTATTGCTTATTTGGCAGTAATTGTTTCGGACGGATGTCTGACGGAGACCCCCAGGGTTTCCGTAGTGCGGGGCTATGTTCAGTGTGTGAGTTATTATTATTATTATTAATTGTGCAGCAAGTTCGGTTTTGTGGTCATCGCAGCCTATTTACATACATAACTGTATAGTGGTATTCACATAACCTCGCGAATCCACACATTTCTAAAATATAATGCACCCTTTTTTTCTTTCAATAAAGAGAAACCCGAAAATTTGGACGTTGCCATTAATGAATAGAATAGAATAGAATCATTTATGTAATATTATCAATGTCACAATATTACAATTCAAAATACAATGTCAAGAGATAATATGATCGTCACTAACACAAACAATAATATTGAATATAAGATAAATAAAGTTACTAAGCTTAAAGCAAAGTTTCTGCCGGGAAATAAAATGTATGCCTGCCTATATATATAATGCCTTTTATGTTTTATTTTTATTTTTATAATATCAAATGACGGGACGAATAAGTCGTGGACCTGGTGGCAGATCTGAGGGGCACTACCACTGTGAAGAAGAAGAAGAAGAAATCAACCCAGAAACAAAACTCTTGTTGCATTGTGTGTTAAATCTCACTACACGTAGACTGGAGTTCTTAGGACTTATACCAAGAATTCTCATGCAGTGTCATCTCCCACGCATTACATTGGCGTACTATTTTGAAGTGGAATTCCTTCACCGCAGACTTATTACCTAACGCTTCACTTAGGCCTTTTTAAGGTGAGAGTGAATAGGCATAAATTGTTTCATCGTCGACCTCACGGTCACTTTCATCGGGTGCGATAGAAGTCAAATGTTCAAATGAGGTTCTCAATTCGACTGTATTTTTTATTTTTTTGTGTGTATGTTACACGTTTACTCAGATCTTTGTGAACCGCTTCCAATTATACTTTTTGGGTTGGAAATTATCCTTTAACGGAGGAAAATTAGGGAATGAATCCGGCTATTGCATTTCACCCACTTTGCGTTAACCCATTTCAATAACATTTGGCAAATAGATTCCAATTCCACAAACTTTTGAGGTAGGTTTTTTTTTATTATTAATTATAACATGCCTCCACAAATATTTAAACTGTCGAAGAAGCAACCATTCTCCAATGGAGACACCATCGTTTTTGATACATATGTAGTAAGTAATCAATATTTACCTTCAACAAGCATCCAGAAGAAGTTGGTGAGGTAGAAGTAGTGCATGCATATTATCATGATCATGCACGAAGTTTGATCCGGGTGAGACTCCTCTGACCAGTTCTGTGAAATAGACAATTGTTATCTATAAAATTATGTTTCAATACAGTCAACTGTGTCTACATCTATTATACAGCCAATAACCGGGCTTTATACAAAAAAAATCCAAGCCATTTAAGGGCCTTTGTCTACCAAAGTATCACAATAGCTGTCCTCTGCGTTTAAGTTGACATTATTCAGGATTTATGATAAAAATAGTCAAAATCTAAAATGTAAAACTCGGCGTGTTGTTGACTGTACAAAATTCAGAGCTATGTCACTGCGCCTACAGTTTTTTGTTCCGAGGGCTCATTATTATCTCTGTTATATTGTGGAGAAAATTAGACGTATACAACCTGTATATTTTTTATTTAACCTTTAATATAAACAAATATGACGGCCTCCGTGGTCGAATGACTTGCACACCAGTTTTCATGGTGTGTCGGGGAGCAGGGAGGGTTCGATCCTCGGCCGGGTCTACGAGTCGAAAACTAAGTTTTCTATATTGTCTCGGGTGTGGGTGTTTGTGGTACCGTCGTTATTTCCGATTTCCATAAAACAAGTGCTTTGGCTACTTGGTACTTGGTACTTGGTGTAACGGGCTGGTGTCCGCAACTCGCCGTCAAGGCGTCTATTTTTGCTTTGGCTACTTACTTTGTGATCAAAGCAACGCATGTGATGTTGTCCAATATTTATATTTATTTATTTAATCATATTTCTCCAATTTCTTTTTACTTGCCATACAATGTAAGAGTTTTTTTTTAAAGACACTAAGTGACGGGACGAACAAATCGTATGCCTTGTGGTAAACGACACGTCTGTCCATAACAGTTGCAGTATTGCTCAGAGCTTTAAATCGCAATCAGATCTTTGCGACTGCCACATGATCAGGCCACTGCGTTCGTTCCTGTAATTTCATCGGCACCCTTACCCTTCAAAAGTTCTGAGGGGCAATGCCGCTGTGCCCGTCACCCTGTGACAAGTTGCAGAAGTTTGGCGACAGATATAGGTCAGGTGATAGTAGTTCTCTGGACGAACAGTTCCCCAAACTCTATTCTTACTCTACTTATCGTATTGGTTAAAAATAAATCACTATGTGGGCCGAACTGGCATGAAACAACAAATGATCAGATCTCGAACTAGTAAATTCCCTGCACTATGGGATCACAGCGTTGCGTTATTGCGTTATTAATTTTGATAAGTACGTTTCCCAAATTTGTCTTACCGGTAACCTAACCCGGGTTCTCTCTCAATAAATATAATTTTTGATTTGTCTGATCATTTACATCACAATTATTTTTATAAAATCTCACATTTTATTATGAATTAAAACTTTTTAAAGTACACGAGTTTTTTTATTATATCAAGTGACGGGACGAGCAAGTCGTGCACTTTATGGTAAGCTACACGCCTGTCCATAACAGTTACATTGCCACTCGGAACTTTAAATCGCAAAAACTTGAGGGTCACTGCCATTGCGCCCGTCAGTCTGAGACATAAGTCGACAAGTCTCATGTGCCTGTAATTTCACCAGCAACCTCACTCTTCAAAAACGTCACACGGTAATGTAGACATTACTGCTTGGCGACAGAAATAGGTAAGGTGGCAGTACTTCCCTGAACGAACGCTTTCACGAGTAGCTCTATTTGATTTTGAGAATTTATTTTCAGGTGATTAAATTCTGGCGTTTTTAAACCATTTAAACGACATTACGAAAAGGAACGTAAAAATTCATTTTTATTCATAATTTTTTTTTCATAAAATTTTAATTTTTTTTTAAAGATAGGAAATCTAGCACTGCGCAGAACCACACTACAGACACTACTTGGTACCAGAGCAACGAAACTAACTATCCGGGGCGCTCACTAGAACACCCAGAATAGAACCAATTTAGAAATAAATATTACCCAAATTGGTTCCACTGAATGGTATCCGGGACCACCTCATCCATCGCCCACAGGCACACTGATGCGCCATCGAGGTCATCGATATAGAATTATACATTTGTAGTATGCACCAATTCAATGAGATAAAGCAGTTGGACCACGGTTCTAAGGAATGGGTTCGTAGTCCAACTTAGTTGGAAATAATTATTACCGACAACCCGTTGTTCAATTGAAATTACAAAACAGTTGGACACAACACAGAAAAAAATAATTAGTCAACCGCCCTAAATAGGTAGAGCGCAAACACTTGCCTGATAACATATGCCTGATAATAAATAATATTGCTTTTTTTGGTGTTTCTCTGATAAATACGTATACAATATAAAAAAGAAATAACTTAACCTAATAAATAAGAACTAACCTAACCTAATCTGATACATAATTTTCGTTATTAATGAAATGAAATTTGATTTGATTTAAACATGATGAATGAAAGATGGAACATAATTTTATAATAGAATAGATATTTTACCTGATTCGGCAGGTAAAATATCTATTTATTCTATAGGGAAATTCATTGAATAATAATGATCAGTCAAATGATACCAATAAAATAATAACCATTGATGTCACACTGTTAAATATAATAAATACACAGTATAACAAGTATTAATTCATGTCAATATTAATATAAAAAATCAGTTACTTTCTAATAACTTTTGTCTTTATGCAATACACTAATGTCCATTTCCATTCCAAAATTGATAAGTTTGTATTTAGAGTGTTAAGTTAATTGTATTAAGAGTGCCTTTTGCATTACAAGCATTGGTTTAAGACGTACTTAAGTTTAGTGCAAGTGGACATGTCCATTTCTGAATAAATGATTTAGTAACGTTTTAATGTGATTTAATGTGTTTAATGTAATTTGAAAAAAACAAATAAACGCGATTTAAATCCGGAAAAATAGTTTCATATTCTATGTGTAACACTCGCGAAAATCTAAGAACTCGAAACGTTTTAATGTCCTTTAATAGAGCTTAATAAATTCGGACACACATACAATTGCATTGATTTGTAGTAAGACAATCTCGCTTTGTTATTGTAGACCAATTTTTTTAAAAGATTTCACTGAACAATTTTTTAGGTTTTGCCTGAAATGTACACGGCCTAATGAATTGCAAATGTTATACTTTGAGTTTTCGTACAAATAAGATCTTGTTGGTATTTTAAATCAACAATTAAGATTCTCTCTTCAATTAGTATTCAGCATAGGTCGTATTGCGGTGTTGTAGGAACGTGTGTACAACTGGTTCAACTCAGCTAACTCAGAGGTTCGTGTTAGGTATTCTAATAAAGGCGTTGAGTACTCTATTCGGTGTTGAACTTTCAATTTCAACCCTACGTGTCGCGAAGATACGTAGGATGTACTGTCGGCCACATCTAAGCAGTACCATATGCACCTATAGAAATTAAAAATAACACAACTAAAAAAACAACTTTGTATACCTATACGGTGACCGGCCGGTTAGCAAGTGTGGAATTCACGGCACGATACATTGCTTGTTTTCTGCTTCGATACGATCGTTTATTGTGTTTCGATGTAAAAATTAGTTCAATTTTTTTTATGAAATACTTACTTATTGTTTCAGATTGATTGCTGGTGTGGTTTAGTTTTTTAATACGTAGACCATACGGACCATACGTAGAACATACTGGCAGAAAACCAGCACTATTTGACTTCTCTCGGTCTACAGTATTTATGCTGAGTGAGGGCCATTTAAGCACAAACTGTAGTCATAGCTACATTAAATTTTTATCAGTTCTTGTAGTATTTGTGTGTTTTTCTCACAGTATTTGTTTTTCTCGCAGTATGTGTTTTATATAAATGTGTATAAAATTAATAATGAATGTTCTATGTGCTTTTATGTTATACTCTGTGAAGTGATTGTAAATGTTTTGTTTCTGTGTTGAATAAACGTGTTATCTATCTATGTATCAATTGAAATAAAAATTAAGTAATAAAGTTAAAACCTTTTCCTGTAAAATTTGGTTTTGTGTAGATACGCGCCTTTTACCAATGCTAGTTACGCGGCTTTACATTATCCCCGATGGTATATATATTTTTAAGAGGTTATTTGATTTGATATTGACTAAACTTTTATGAGGGTGTTTTCGGTTAGGAAACAGAAAGTAAAATGAGCATTAAACTCGATCTTATAGCTATGTTGGTGCGAGCAGTAGTTCCGGTTTAGCAAACAGTCGCTGATTCAAGTCCAGTCGCATCTAAGAATTTTTCATTGCATTTGTTCGATCTTTATAACAATAATAAAATGAGCATTGAAGGTTTAATAAAAAACAAACCCAGTAACTTTCAGTTATCTTATTTTGACTATGACATAAATAAGAAAAAGTAATTGTTGAAACGCAGTAGGTTAGATTACAATGTTTTATTAATATGTGCTAAAATATATCAAAAGTAAAACGGTCGTAGAATTAAAATTTACTGGTTAAAACAGGTTTGATACTCAATGATAGATTTAGCTATTCAAATGAGAAACGCTATGGAGTGCGGCCATCGAAGAAATTGTCATAAAATTTCTAGTATTTAATTTTAATAATAAATTTTGTCTATTATTATATTTTTCTTTAGATATCTACTATGTATGTATGGATATCAAAGTCAAAATATATAATATAATAAACTTTTTTATTTGTACCAACTTGGATCGCTGGTGTTAGTTTAGCTACTTATACTATTGTTAGATACATACAAATTAGAATAACATCATTTTAATAATTTTATAACATCATCAACATAAAAAAAAAATTCGACTTATACTTAACAAACAAACGAATCACCAGACAAATTTTATTATTGAATCCTAATTAGCACAATTGTTAAAATGATTTAAATGAATCCTGCCGCAATGAGCAAGATACGGACAGTCGAGTCTGTTTGCAATCACGTTGAGAAGGCTGCTGCTGCTTCCATTTATTCTATATAGAGACATTTTGATCTTTTTAGGTTCACATAAAACATACCCGTGGTAGCCTAAGAGCGTATTTGTTCGAGACGAATTTCATCGCGTTCACCCCGCGCGGTCGCCGAGCGGAGTCCGCGTTGCCGCCGCGCAGCGACCGCGTGCGTCTGTCACGGCAAAATACGCTCTATTTATTTAGCATTTACGTTTTAACTTAAATGAGCGTCCCGGGCACGCAGGCGAGACTGGCTTGAAACTGGTCTACGCGGCGACCGCGCGGTTGTATTATTCAGAGGAATTGAAATGTTGTTGCCTAGTAAATAGAAATCAGATACGTCATTAATGTACATGAAGGCGTGGTAACTGGGTGGTCGCCGCGCAGCGGACGTGCGAAAACTTTCGCCTCGTGTAACTGGGCGCTAACGGCTTGACTTACCGTCTCTCAAGCAAACGGTCGTGGGTTCAAATATGAGTTTTGCACCTATGAGTTTTTCGGAATTTATGTACGAAATTGAATTTGAAATTCACCACGCATTTATCGCTGAAGGAGAACATAGTGAGAAAATCTACACACATCTGCAAAGTTATTTAATAATGTGTGTGAAGTTTCCAATCCGTATTGATCATGCGTGAGAACGGCCTAAACCCTCTCATTATGAGAGAGGACCTGTGTCTAGCAGTGGGATTATATATAGTTTAACTATTACATTTTCGACTATAGAGCATAATGTTATCAGGAAAACCTGATGAATTCGAATAGTACAGTATAATTCAAGAATAGAACATTTTGTTCCTAACTTTGTAATCCCTGAATTCCATTTCCCGTCTGGAAATTATTTTTCCTTTCTATTATTTTCTGTGAATAAGTGTCCTCGATTTGTTGTGACACAAACGAGCTCCGCATAGTGCCAGGTACAAGATACCTTCTTACCATTTATTTTATGCAGCTTGAAAACTCTCATCACATTTTATATTTATTTGAATCTACATGTAACATCGTTTTGTTGTGCATTTGGTGGAATTAGAATGTTAAGAAATTTTATTCAAAAATCGCAAACGGTTTTTAAGAGAAACATATGAATTCTAATCTTTAAAACAATGTACTTTAAATAAGATTGTTTTAATTCAAAGTTTGAAACGTTAAAGATCATTGGCTTTTGTTAAATGTAAATTTTGTTTGTTAGTTGAAGACCTCCGTGGTCGCACTGCCACTGCGCCTGTTACCCTGAGACATAAGTTGACAAGACTCATGTGCCTGTACTTTCACCAGCATCTTTACCCTATAAAACTGGAACGCAATAATGCTCACATTACTGCTTGGGGCGGCATAAATAGGTAAGTTGGCAGCATTTCTCTGGACGAAATCTTTCATAAGGAGCTCCACTGCTACTTGTTGTACTAAGCTCCAATTTATAATGTTGTTATGACCATGTAACCAGAATAAGTAATGACTGTTGGTTTAGTACAGCTATTAATACTATTTAATTATGTTACTTATTTAACGACCTCCGTGATCGAGTGGCTTGCACACCGGTTTTCATGGTGTCGTTTCTGAACCATGTACCAGAGTCATGTTGCAATAGTAAGTGTAAACTCTCTCTCTTTCAATTTCAATACTTTATTGCATTTTCTACAATATTTCACAAGGTGGTTAAGTTTCACAAGTTAATATTTTAACAAATCATTGTAGACTCTGTACAAGGCACAGCAAACTGGAGAGGAGGACGAACTTCTAATCAAGAATTAAACTTTTAAATCATTATCCTGAATAAATTTCGAAACAGCGTGACATTTTTCTATTAGCAGTCTTCACTTTTTTATAAATATTATATACTACTAACGACTTGGTAATTTATTATACATTTTCATAAACATTCGGAGTGGACTAGAAGAGTTAATTTTAAACCGGGTGGTTGTTGTTATCAGTTTATGTCCATGTCCCTGTAATACAAGCCTTGCTTAGTACAGAGGCCACAAGTAAAAATGCAAACTAGTCCATTTTTCCAGAAAAAACATTTTTATATGCATTACAAATCCAAATAAAAATGTTTTTGTAACAGAAAAGACACAAATATACTTCCTAAGAAACAGGATTAATACAGATTTTTTTCTTTATTATTTCATGCTAGTAGAAAATTCATATACACTTACGTATCTTACTACAACCAAGACGTATTAATATAAATAAAATTCGGACGGATGTCAGACAGAGCATGGGAGTACACCCCAAAGTTTAGTACCACGTCGTACATAGTTCTGTGAGATAAAAGCTTTGTAGTTTAGCAATTTTTGTTTGTTCAACGTAATTTGCAGTGTCGCTGATGTTATGTTACAGTGCTCCATAATTTGTAAGACGAACTAATTAGCACATCGCACAGAGAAATAACGTGAGGTCAAAAAATAAATATCCGCGCTCCAAGCAAAATCACGTGACGAATTTGTCGATTGTTACCATCTCCTTCGTTCAATTTGACCAGACATTTACAAGGGAAACGGAAACTTATACCTTAACGTTCCTTTTAAAAGTGCAAAATATTTTCATATAAATCTGTACTATCTTCCAAACATTTTGTCATCGAATTAGATATACCTATCATTTAATTAGGCGAGCTTACTATAACTAATAAATAATTGTGCACTAGCCTAAGTACCGTAACATTCTAGAACTTCAATAAACATTTCTAAATTACACTTTTGTACCTCACTACTGTTTAAATTATCATCGAACGGACTTTGTGATGTAGCTGGCTGTGGAGATTTGTCTGGGTATAACAATAATATTTATATTGCGGTTCATTATGTTATGCTCACTTTCTGTACATTTTCTGTCGATAGCAATCTTGAGGCTAAGCGATGTGCTAATTAGTTCGTCTTACATATTATGGAGCACTGTAAGATAACATCAGCGACACTGCAAATTATGTTGAACAAACAAAAATTGCTAAACTACGAAGCTTTTATCTCACAGCACTATGTACGACGTGGTACTAAACTTTGGAGTCTACTCCCATACTCTGTCCGACATCCGTCCGAATTTTATTTATATTAATACGTCTTAGTTATATTAAGATACGTAAGTGTATATGAATTTTCTACTAGCATGGAATAATAAAGAAAAAATCTGTATTAATCCTGTTTCTTAGCAAGTATATTTGTGTTTTTTTTTGTTACAAAAACATTTTTATATGCATTACAAATCCAAATAATTTATATTTTATTTTTGTATAAATTATTGACCGCTGCGAGTTGTTACGTCGTTTTGTATTTATTGTAATATTTTGGCTGCATGAAAAAGGTTTAGGTTAGGCAAAGGTTCTTTAACTTTTTATTTTTGACCTCGATTTTTGTGTAATATGAATTATCTGCGGAAAAAAATCGGTTGCTTGAAAACTGTTAAATCAGTAATACTCGACTAAATCAAAAGACCATGTGAAAGTATGAAGCTTCATTCGCATCATGCGTCTTTTAATTTGGTGGAGTATTACGTATTTGACAGTAATTGTTTCGGATGGATGTCAGACGGAGAACGAGCGTAGATGCCCAGGTCTTGTCTAATGTAGTTTATGTTATTTTTTATAAACCTGTACTTTAATCTGTCAATTATAATTTCATAAACTATATCACAAAAGCGCTCTTTTTAGTTCCGAACTAAAATTCTATAGTCTATAGTACTCGCTACTAAACAAAATTTATTATGGGTTTGTTTACAGAAGTATAACGACTTTCAGAAAAGAACGTCGCATTTTTGCTAATTAAAATATCAAATATTTTGCTCAAACGCTCTACTACCTCTTGATTGGTTAAAATATAAGCGGTACTTAGCCGCTCACAGACACTTCTCTTTGGTTTTTGTTTTCTACCGTTGTTTAGCTTTCGTTTGAGTTTGTTGCTGTGGGTTGTTTAACAAATAATATTTAAATATATGAGTTGTATTTCAATCTTTTAATTAACATGCTGAAAAAGTATTGCATGCAATCATTACATAATTAGGTCTTTGAATCTCCTACTTATTACGTAAGCCACTCGGGAATAAAATATTATATTAATGTGTTGAGACAAATAACTTATAACTGCCACTGTAAAGTTTAGCGGTACAGTTTAGAAAGGATAACAAAATTCGTGTAAATACGGAACAAAATACTTACTTGTAAAGCTAAATTTATGATCCAACTACACGCCGACAGAATGTAGGTTGTCATAAGGTTCGTATGTATTGTGTTCCTTAGACATCTTAGGTCCCTGAAACAAGAAATAAAATATAGAATAAAGAAACATGAAAGGCTCGTGGCCATAGTCGTTGTCGTGTGTCGTGTGTGTTGAAAGAATCTGCGCACAACGCATCACTACTTAAAAAAAATTCATAACCAGCGTAGAGAACACAGCCCTTCGATACACTTTAATTTTCTGTTTTGTTATCTTCTCACATAGACAATTTTCTGTTTAGGAGATTTAGGTCAAGTACATAATACAGATAATCTTTCAAACTATTCTTAACGCCTTTTTACATAAAACTGTCTTATGTATTATGTAAAGAGGTGACTTTGAGATTTAGGTAAGTATTATAATCTCAAGTTTCACGAGATATTTGAGATGCCGTCAATGTAGCTATCGTACAATACGTAAGTAATACGTCTTTGTTGTATTAAGATGCGTAAATAGGTATATGAATTTTTAACTAGCACAGAATAATGAAGAAAAAATCTGTATAAATCCTGTTTCTCAGCAAGTATATGTTAGTTTTTTTGTTACAAAAACATTTTTATATGCATTACAAATCCAACTAAAAATGTTTTTGTTTGTTTTTTGTATAAAATATTGACTGCTGCGTGTTGTTACATCGTTTTGTATTTTTTGTAATATTTTAGCTACATGAAAGAGGTTTTTTTTAAAATTTACTTTAACTCTTTATTTTTGTCCTCGATCTTTATGTAATATTAATTATCTGCGGAAAAAATCGGCTGCTTGAATGTATTAACAAACCAAAGTTTTACATTGTTAGGCAATGTGCGGATTGTCCCTGTAATGCCAGTCGTTAGTCACGTTTCCCTGTGCGTGTGCTATTTAAATTAGTACCTTCAATGTTAAGCCGGGGTAATGTATATTCACGAAGTTGGTGTGCAATCTTCGGTTGAAATTGGAACATTTATGTTCATTTTTTTATGACACCAAGTGACGGAATGATCAATTCGTACGCCTGATGGTAAGCGACACGCCTATTCACAGCAATTGCAGTGCCACTCAGAGGTTTAATCGCAAAGTCTGGGACAAAAGTTGAAAAATTCCATGTGCACCACGAGCACCCTTGAACGTCTTGCTTGGCAGCAGTAATAGGTAAGGTGGCAGTATTACTGGTCCGTGTGATTTCCTTCACAAGGAGGCTACTAAATTTTTAGTCGGACCTGTTGACGTAATAAGTCGTTATTCACCCTATTTACCGATCAGTGCCTTTACCATGAGATTACAGTGACAGTTCTCTCTAGCGACCGTGTAAAATATCTGCATACAAAATGTTTTTCCTTCTTGTGACTGCTAGGAGCGCTGAGTAATTTGATATACAAAATTTGCAAGTGATTTACGCGGTCGGTAGCGACAACTGTCACAGTAATCTCGTGGTAGAGGTGCAGTTTTCACCTCTTTCTATTTCTGGCAATGGAACTCTCTAAGAGACTTTTAAGTTATATGAGTTACGCATATGTCAGCAATAGTCGTGTGAGCCTTAGACTATGATTTTTCGATCCTCTAAGATGTGAGCGGTGGTCCTCATACTAGTGTGACTAATCTTGCTACCAAAGCTTCGTTACGAAATATATCCGAATCAGAATCCGATGCACAATTCATGTTAATTTTTATTTTATATGAAGCTTGTTCAGTACAGTCAGGTCAGTGCGATCCACCGCATTCCTCCGTTCTTGATGATTGTCTACTTCTCGGAAAATTTGGAAATTTAGTTTTAATTAAGACGTACACGCAATGCCGATACCGACCCTCTAGCCGACCTTTTGGTTCAGAGAGCCTTCTTACGGTTGAAATTTGTATTATGTATTTATGTAAGTATATGATAAAGAACCAATTGGCTTAAAAAGTTTCTTAAAATCTCTATCACTAGTAAAGCAGTAAGTATGTCATACCAAAATGAATGTTACGGCTCACAGGTTAAATATTATGTTTGTTTAATACTTTTTTTCACACTTATCTACTCAGACCCAAATTTTCGATCAGGGGCTCAGGTATCTTCCCTGAATGGCAAAAACGGGGGCTTTTGTCACCCACTGGGTAAGGGTTCACGGGCGTGTTAAATATTCACGGCATGCCACTAATGATGGTGGGGGGGATAGTGAAGTCTCCCCAGAGGTGGGTCCGCGGTGGCGGATAACAGCAGGCGGGGCCGTGGATCCGATAACCGGGAGTTTTTAGTGAGGAGTCTCACATAACCAATGTGCCTCCTCGTGACGCGGTGGTATACATGACAGATTTTCCCCCGAAAAGAAAAAAGAAAAAAGAGGGTCAGATATCTTAGGGCATCGACTTTACAAGGAAGAAACGTGGAGTTACAGCATCCACAAAACCACTGCTCTTAAATGTTAAGTTCCACGTGGTATTACACTAGGTTTTTCAAAATAACATAGAATTTTGGTGTATACCAGCTTATCATATTATAAAACAAAGGAGCTGTAGTGAGATACAAAGTTGGTTTTGCTTTAGGGTATTCGTGACTGATTAATGTATTAGTCTTTGGAATCTTTACGAAATGGTAAGATTTTATTATTTTATTTTTATTTACCCTTTCAGTAATAAAAAATATAGCTCTTTCAGATGGTTACGTTGTAGGTAATAATTCTGAGATTGGAAGTAAATACAAATTTGATAAAAATGGCAATTTTTATTGACGATCTCTGTGGCCTAACGGTTAACTACATGAGGATGCGGAGGTCCCGGGTTCGATTCCTGGTAGGACCAATTTGGGAAATGAATTTTTCTAAATTGGTTCTGGTCTGGATGTTCTGGGAAGTGCCCCAGAATTACTTTGATACCAGGCAATTGATGTGATTGTCTGGCATATTATAATTAAAAACGGAAACCAAATGAATTTAATAACAACGTTATGGCATAGAAAATAATCCAAAATAAAAAAATATTACAAAGGTAGTTGCTGAGTAGTCTATGTCTTATAATTTGCAATCAAATATTTATAAATGTTCATGGACATTTGATACATTCTTTCGAGGCGTGAAAGTTCAACATATTTGCCACGAGAAAACGATACCAATTCTGTCAAAAAAAGACGTAAAACGTAATGACCAAAATAGTAACGATTGTTCCACTTACAAAAAGAATAAAGTAACAATAGAACTTTTTGTTACTCGTTTGGCAAACAACACGACTTCTTTCACTTTTTGCTACTATTCATTTTATGTCTTTGGCCTTGACGTAGTTATGCAGTGATGTGTCCACGGGATATTTTGGTTAGAAAATGTACCTAGATAAACAAATGATATAGGTAGTTGTGATATTAAGAGCTTTATTCAGCGCACAGAGAATTCGCATCCTTGGCGTAATAAGGCCACATCTGCAAAATGAAAAGTTTTCGTGAGGAAATTTGTCGATAACTATTTTATATTTTTTTAAATTAGGTTTGTAACAAACCTACTTTATGTAACAGACGGCCTAAAGCCAGATTGTTCACTTTTAGTTCTCATCGCAGCTCATTTTAGTCATCAGTGTTAAGATTTTCCCTCGAATGGTGACTACTAGAATACAATTTTGTTAATGTGAACAGGGGTTATGAGCCTTCAGCTCGCCCTTTTCTTCAGTGGCGCAGTCAAGGCCATCAGCGGCCAACTGTAAAATATCCTTCAAAAAAAAAAAAAGTTAATGTGAAGAGAAATCTGAGAATACAGAGAGCTCAGTAAGGCAACCAGGACTTGAGTCCCTTCTTGGGAACTGCTACCCGGATCTTCTGATATTTCGTACGCTTCATATAGGGTGAATAAACCTCATCTCGCGGAACGATTTCCAGGAGTGAGTCCCTTCTTGGGAACAACTGCCCGGTCCTTCCGCATATAGGGTGAAATTGTATTGGCGACATACAAGGTGAAGATAAAAATCTTTTGAACAATTTGGAGTTTCACTTGGCTTGTTTTGATAACCTCATCCAACGGACGACAGAACCTCCCTCCTTTACAGGTTATAAAATTTCACATATACATAATTTGTTACATGTAGTTCGTAGTAGATTTATGTGACTTTGTTATATCAGGGTACAAGTTCAGTTAGCAGAAAATAAATTTCATTTATTTCGTTTGAAAATGTTTACGTCATAAAAACGATTCGCTTAGAAATCACTCGTCGCGGATTCGAAATTATCTTTTCAAATTGTCTTTTAAATTTTCAAAAACAAAATCTGTGAATGAGTGACAGTTGTCATTTTTAATGATGTAGGTATCGCTTAATTACCTTATTTTTTTCCATCCTCTAAGCTTTTGATTACCATTTATTTTAAGGCGACCACTAGGCTTCTGCCAGTGTCTATTTTAAAAGAATAATATAAAAAATAATGGCGATCATCGCCAGTGTCAGTAATTAGAAAGTTCTCTTTCGGACATAATCACTTACCAGTTTCAGTTTCGGGCTTGGAGGATCTGGCTTTGTCATTATATATTTTTTACAATATAAACTATATTTCTTTATGGTAATGCGGGTTGTATCGAAATCGATAGTTATAAAATAGGTATAGTTATACTATGGCAAGCCAAAAAGCTATATATATATAACATGTTAAAGGTATATAGTCTATTTAATAACAGGCAATAAAAAATATTACAATTACAAGACTAAATGATATAGATGTAACACATTTATTAAGATTTTTACTGTACCATAAATTTCATATGAACCAATCTCACATGGTCCGTGGTTTTATGGATTTCTGTGTTCAAATGACAATTTTTTTATGACACCAAGTGACAAGATGGACAGGACGTGCATCTGGTGGAAAGTGACACGCCTATCCATAGCAATTCTGTACCAGAGTTTTAAATCGCAAAAATGTGAGGGTACTGTCACTGCGTCCATCACCCTGAGACATAAGTGAACAAGTCCTATGTGCCTGTAATTTCACTAGAATCTTTACCCTTCAAAACCAGAACGCAGAAATACTCATATTGGCGGCAGAAATAGGTAAGATTACAGTACTGCCCCGGACGAAGTTTTTCACAACGAGCTCTACTACTACAAGAACT